ACTGTTTGGGTGAAATACTCGATGTTATAGATAAACAATTATGCACCAAGCGTATTGCACCTGACGGATCTATGAAACATAGTTGCACGCCAGATATGCAGTATGGGTGCAGTTTCGTGGTCAGCATGTCTACTACGCACAGGCACCCACTTATAGATCTGTTCGGAAAACCATCTTTTTCGTTGGTACCGCTCATTTACTGCGCGATGATCGATGAACTGTTGACAAGAGGATAACTCATCCTCCCAGTGAAACTTGCTTTCTCTCCCGCTCACTGCACGCCCTGCATGCTTATCGTTAGACGGTGAGTAATTTGTTATATAAAGAAATGGTGGCGTAACCAAAATAATCAGCTCACCAATGTTTATGCCGTGAAGATACGCTAGTCCTTTAGTTGCTTGAAGCAGAATATCCATTTCAGAAAGGGGACAGTATTCCCGGACTTTCTCATTTTCCACATAATCAGATAATGAATAATCACACAGCTCCAGTGCAATATACCGGAAATTGCTATCTGATTCCTAGAAATCATTGACCATATAAAGAACATCATTAGAGAACGACCCATTAAAAAATTTCCCCAAAAAAAGTGAAAAACGACCCATGATATTCTTGCTCCTTGAAAAGTAGAAAATAACCTTTTGGAGGATCACTAAAAAAGCAACAGAGTTTGAAATTAAGCTTGCAAAACGAGACCGACCATGCAAAAATATCTGATGACATTTGGATGAGCATCACTTTCGCGCAACAGATCTACTTCTCGATCAGCAAGTCGAATATCTGCGATTACTCGTTTCACAGCTACCTCACGATCATCAAACCTACCTCTGAAAAGCTGCTAAGTAAAAATAAACATTCCACTTTTATAAAAAGTTAGCTGTTTTTTTCGCAACTTACTGCTTCCCAGATTCCATATTTTCCACAAGCTTTCATAAAAATTGAAAAAAAAAATCGCTAAAAATCACAAGTGTTATTTTTAATTTTGAGTCTAATGACCACAAAATTCAAAATATCTCACTTCCTCTTGGAACGGCTAAAAATTTAAGTCCTATGGAGCGGAAGATATACTAAAAGCCGACACTTAGGACAAAT